CCTTGGCAGGGATCCTGTACGACACCTACCCGCTGTCAGAGGAGACCTGGCACACCCATCAGTTCAACTTCATCAAGGTAACGAGGTGGGGAGCAGCACCCACACCTCCTGCTGCCCCACACAAGGGGCTGGAGGAGAATTTGGGAGCTCAGGAGTCAAAGCCAGAGCTGGTGCCAGTCTACAGCCCCCGCCATCCCCAGCACCCTCCCCGGTGCCCAGGCTTAGTGTCCTCTGCAAAGTCACAATGTCCCCAGTCGGCACTTTTGGCCCCTGCTGGGGAAGCATCCAGGTCTGCGGGGAGACGTTAAAGCTCGGAGGGGTGTGAGGTGGGTGCTGGGTGCTGAGCAGGGGTGCTGGGTGCTGAGGCAGCCCCCCCTCGATGCCCGTTGCAGGACCATGCCTTCCGCTTGCTGCAGCCCGGTGGGGTCCTCACCTACTGCAACCTGACCTCCTGGGGGGAGCTGCTGAAGACCAAGTACACCGACATCGAGAAGATGTTTGAGGTGAGCGTGGCCCCCCCAGCCCCACCCGGGGTCCCCAGAGCTGCCCCCTCAGCCCCTGCATCCTGGGCGCTTGCGACACCTCAGCCATGGAGCAGCACGAGCCACTCCGTGGCCATTTAACCCACCCGTGGTGGGGCTCAGCAGGGAGTGTTTGAGGGAAGGTCAGAGGGGTTTTGCCCATGGCGACCCTACCCGGGGCTCCTGCTGCTTGTGCAGTCCCCTGTTCCCTTGGGCTGGGGCTCAGCACCATCTCCAGTCACACCCAGGCAGCTCAAACCATCGCTGCTCCTCCCTGCAGGAGACCCAGGTAGAGCACCTGGTGGAGGCTGGGTTCAAGAAGGAGAACATCAGCACAAGGGTGATGGACCTGGTCCCCCCCAAGGACTGCAGGTACTACTCCTTCCACAAGATGATCACCCCCACCATCGTCAAGCACTGAGGGTGCCCCAGCCTGGCACCGACCCTGGCAGCCTGGCACCATCCCTCCGGGCTGCCCTGAAGCTGCAGGAACCAAACACTGGGAAGAAGAAGCTGATGATGTGTGCTGGGAGGAGGAGAAAAGCTCTTACCTCCCTTGGTGCTGATCAGAGAAGATTCAAATCGATTTATCTGGAGGCAGGAGATGTCTGGAGGTTTGGGATGGAAATCGTGGGGCTCCAGGGGATCTCCAGGACAAAGGGATTCCCTGTCCCACCAGGGATGTCACCCAGCCCCCTGCCCTGGAGGGGTCTTCAGGAAGGTCCCACCCTGCCCTGCCCTGGAGGCCACTCAAGACTCATGCTCCTCTCCAAATAGCTCAGTTAAGCTGCAATTCAAGAGTGTGGCTCAGAGCCTTTAGCCAAAGGGCTTCAAGGACGAGACCTTTCCTCTAAAAACGGGGTCATTTTTAGAAATGATGGGGTGGTTTCCACACAGAAGCAAAATGATCTAAACCAGGCAGGAGGACTGGGCAGGATGGGGCAGTTGGAGGCATTTTGGCTGCTCCTGGAGCAACTTCCCAGCGACGTGACCCGACACCTTGGGCTGAGCCTCGCTACAGCACCACAACCTCCCTGCATCAGTGACGCTTCCTCTCACTACCCAGAAGGAATAAAACCCATTAAAAAGGAACAAAACTCATTAAAAAGGAATGAAATACGCAAGGGCTGTTTCAGAGCAGTTTGTTTGTCTCCCAGAAGTGCACGTGCAGGTCCCCTGGGGCCGTGCCTCGGACACAGGGCAGCGCCAAGGCCACCACGGGCTCCTGACATCCAGGTTTCTGAATTTGTGTTAATCTTTTACTTACAGAACTATAATTGATTCCTGGCTGCTGTGCCCACAGATATAAGGGATTTATTAGACCCTTTGTAGGCATTCTAAACGAAAAGCAGGTGGTGAGTAAAGAGAGGAGCTCAGCGAGGCCTTGGGGCTCACCTGGGGGTGTGTTGGTCTCAAAACTTCCTGGCAAAGCCAAAAACCAAATCTCAGGTTTCTGACGAGACGCTGACATCATGAGAGATGTCAAACGTTCTCCTTCCCTCCCAGGCTGGTCAGGCCAGGAAACAACACGCTGAGTGTTCTCAAACTCAGCTCCTGCTTTTTCATCCAGTTTTTAAACAAGGGAAAAACACTTTAGGTAGGAGAGACCTATAAAAGCCAAAACATCTGAATCAGGTAGAGTTTTATTGGAAGGCTCGTGAGAATTCCAGCGGATTGTGCGTACAAGTGTGAGCAGGTGCCCCAGGCAGCAGCACCTGGGAGGACATAAATAAGAGGCTATTTCCTGTACCAGATCTGAATCCTCTTCTCCCGTTTGATTTTCTTCTGAAGCTGCAGGATTCCGTACAGCAAAGCTTCTGCAGTAGGAGGGCAACCTGAGAGAGAGAAAAGGGAAGCTCGGGGGCTGCTGGCTGCACCGAGATGTGGCCAGCAGCAGGAGAACCCAGTGGCCACGGGCAGCAGGCTGGGATTCCCTCTGGCTTTGTCTCTGTCTCAGGCTGCAGAGGTGATAGAAGCAAGAGGCCGCCTTCTGTTTAAAGGAACTCAAGCGCCAGTGTTTTGAAAAGGTTCTTTATAAAGCAGAGAAACCCTTCGCTTTCAGGCGAGGCAGCATCTCACAGGAGAGCAGGTGGTGGATAGACTCCAGCCCTCACCTCACAGGGCAGCTCCCGGGAGCCCCTGCCCTACCTGGCACGTAGATGTCGACGGGCACGATGCGGTCGCAGCCCCTCACCACCGAGTAGGAGTAGTGGTAGTACCCGCCGCCGTTGGCACAGCTGCAAGAGATGGGCGGGGTCAGGGCAGTGCTGGGCACGGGCAGGGACGGGCAGAGAAGGGAACTGGGCACCCCAGGGCCACGAGCCCGGAGGTTAAAGGTTCAGCCCCTTCGCCAGCCCTGGCTGGAGGCAGAGACTCCACTCCCTGTCACGTTTCAAGCTGAATGGAACCAAACCAAACTGATCCCTTTACTCCTACACAGCAGATACCCTGAGGGTCCTTCCTCTCTGCTGCAAAACCTTTTCTATGTGGCCACATCTGCACAGACTGTTGCTAGAACTCATTCTGGTCCTTCCAGGCCCTGGTCAGTCCCTTCTCCCAAAGAACAAGGGACAGGACAAGAGGAAACAGCCTCAAGTTGCCCCAGGGGAGCTTGAGGTTGGACACAAGGAACAATTTCTTCCCCTTGAGAGCTGTTCAGGGCCGTGCCAGGCTGCCCAGGGCAGTGGTGGAGTCCCCACCCCTGGAGGGGTTCCCAAGCCATGGAGATGTGGTGTGAGGGACACGGGGCAGTGGGGACCTGGCAGTGCTGGGGGATGGTTGGACTTGAGGCACTTAAAGGTCTCTTCCAACACAAACGATTCTGTGTTCTGTGGTGAAATGGCCTCTGCAGCTCCAGGAGATGAACACTGTGTCAGTTCCACCACACCAGAGCTCCACAGAGCTCAGATTTCGTGCTGTGCAGCAGATGCACTTTGAAAGCTTTTGTCTAAATGCAGATTCTGGATGTATAAAGTCCTCAGACTGTGACAGCTGCGAAACTCCCAGAATCTTTCACTGGAAGGACTCTGATGTTCACAGCGACCTGACAGACCCCCACCCCGAGCAGAGGGACCTTTCTGTGCCCCTGGTAACCGGCTCTGCACGGGATCACGGGGCTGGGGGTCCAAATGAGAAACGGGGGCCACTCCCCTCACCTCCCCACTGGAGCAAAGCCACCAGATCTCTCCCAGGTGAGGACGTGCTGGCACCTACCTGCCCATGGAGACCACGTAGCGAGGCTCCGGCATCTGGTCGTAGACCTGCAGA